GGGGTGTCAGGAGGGTGCTGGGGAGGGGGCAGGGATTGTTGGGGACGCCCCGTGCCCCCCCACGTACTGATCTGCTGTGACAGCTCGATGAGCTCCATCTCTGTGGGCATGTAGCCCATGGTCCGCATGCACTCGCCCAGGTCCTTGTAGCTGATGTAGCCGTCGTGGTCCTTGTCGAACTCCTGGAACGCGTGCTTCAGCTCTGGGGACACCACAGTGTCACCGCCGGCCCCCCCCGCACCGCCACCCAACCCCCCGGGAGGGACCCACTCCCCGGCACCTTACCTTCAATCTCCTCGGGCCGCAGCTCCCGGTCCTGGGGGAGAGAAAGCGGGAAGAGCCGAAGGAGGGGTCCTATTCCCAGGGATCCCGCAGGGATCCTGCCCTCACCCCCCCGGGGGCACGGGCGGCACGGGGAGGAGACGGGCACGTACCCGCTGGGTGATGGCGATGCTCTGCCGCAGGAAGATGCAGGCCGGCCCCACCAGCCCCTGCAGCACCGAGTATCCCTGCAGAGTGGGGGTCTGTGCCGAGTCCAGCGCATCCTCCGGGTCCCCCCCGCCGGAGCCCGGGACGCCAGAGCGCGGCTTCCCGTCCTGCGGGCACAGCGGGCGTCAGCGGCGCGGGGGGGCCGCGCTGGGACCCCCCCTCCTCCTCCTCCTGTTGCCCCTACGGGCCGGCCCGGCCCGGCCGTACCTTGGGGAGCCGCCGCTCAGGGGTCTTGGTGCAGTTGCCCATGGCTGGGGGCTGCCCCCGCGCCGCAGGACATGCCTGGCCCGGGGGGGCCGGCTGGCGCAGACCGCGGGGCTGCCACCGGGGATTTGAGGTTTTTATGGAATATCTGGGGATATGCAGGGCAGGCGAAGGGGGGGGGCGCCGCGCCCGCGCGCATAATCCTCCGGATTATTCCCCGCTCGGCCGCCCAGCTCCAGATGTGGGGAGCCGCCCAGCTGTTCCCCGGTCCCGCAGCCTCCCCGCGGGGGCACGCGGGGTCCCCGGCGCCGACCGTGCCCCGGCCCTGTCCCCGCCGCCGGTTACCTGCCCGAGAGCGGGGGGCGGCCGGGGCCCCAGCTCCTCGGCGGCCCGCCGCCGCTCCGAGGGGGACGCAGCGCTACGGCTCCAGCGCCCCCGGCTCCCCGCGGGGCCGGGACCCCCGAGCCGCGGGGCCGGGCGGGGGCGGCGGGCGCCCCTCCTGCCGAGCCCGTGGGGCCGGGGGCCGCCCCGGCAGCCGGGGGGCACGGGGCTGCCGGTACCGCGCGGCTGCGACCCGCGGAACAGAAAGAACATCCCGCCAGCTCCCAGCTCCTTCTCCCCACCACCGGAGCCTCGCAGGGGGGAAACCAGATCCCTCCGAGCAGGCGCTCGCCCCTCGCAGGGACGAGGCCAGCGCTGTCCTCGGGCCCCGCCGCGTCGCCCAGGAGACCGAGTGGAGCGCGGCGACCCCCCGGGGCGCGGGGCGGGGGGAGCGGGGCGGCCCTGGGGGCTCCGGGGGGGTCCCGTGTGGGGCTCTGGTTTCAGCGCCCGAAACCCGACCCGGCACCGGGCGCGGGGCACGTGGCGCCGGGAGCCGGCCTGGCCACGCCCCCCGCCGCGGAGGCCACGCCCCCCCCGCCGTGACCGCTCCCCAATGTCACCCGACGTGCTGTCCTGGAGGACACGCCCCCCGCTTCGTGACCACGCCTCCTGACTGTGACCACGCCTCCGGCCCTCTAGCCGCGCCCCCGCTCCTGTGCCGATCGCTGACGTCACTGTCGCGCCGTCGGCGCTGCCCGTGACGTCGCCGCGGGGGCGCCTGAAGGTGACGGTGGTCGGTCCCGGTGCCGATCCCGACCCCGATCTCGGTGCCGGTCCCCATCCCGGGGCCGGTCCCGATCCCGGTGCCGCCCCACCATGGCCGCCCGGCAGCTGCTGGCGCTCCGGCGCCTGCCCGCCGCCTCCTTCTCGGTGAGCGGGGAGCTCCAGGACCGTCCGGGCCGGGTCCCGGTGCTCCCGGTGCTCCCGGTGCTGAGCTCGCGTGTCCCCGCAGACGGCGCCCAAGAAGACGCAGTTCGGGTCGCTGCGGGATGAGGACCGGATCTTCACCAACCTCTACGGGCGGCACGACTGGAGGTGAGTGAGCCCCGGGGGGCGGCGGGCGCGGCCCCGGCGCCCCGCGCCCGGTGCCAGCGTGCGCGGTGCCCGCAGGCTGCAGGGCGCCCTGCGCCGCGGCGACTGGTACAAGACGAAGGAGATCCTGCTCAAGGGCGTGGACTGGATCCTCGGCGAGATCAAGACCTCGGGGCTGCGGGGCCGCGGCGGCGCCGGGTTCCCCACCGGGCTCAAGTGGAGCTTCATGAACAAGCCCCCGGACGGCAGGTGAGAGCGGGGCCGGGGACGGCGCCGGGCCCGCGGGGAGCCCCCCGGTGGCGCCGGGCCCGCGGGGAGCCCCCCGGTGGCGCCGGTCCCGGAGCTTTCCCTGCCTCCAGACCCAAGTACCTGGTGGTGAACGCGGACGAGGGCGAGCCGGGCACTTGCAAGGACCGGGAGATCATGCGGCACGACCCGCACAAGCTGCTGGAGGGCTGCCTGGTGGCGGGGCGGGCCATGGGCGCCCGGGCCGCCTACATCTACATCCGGGGGGAGTTCTACAACGAGGCCTCCAACCTGCAGGTGCGGGGAGCGCCCCAAAAACACCCCGCCAGCGCCCCGGGGCCGGTGCGGGGGGTCACGGCTCACCCGTGCCCCCTTTGCAGGTGGCCATCCAGGAGGCGTATGAGGCCGGGCTGCTGGGAGCCGACGCCTGCGGATCTGGATACGCCTTCGACGTGTTCGTGGTGCGCGGGGCCGGCGCCTACATCTGCGGGGAGGAGACGGCGCTCATCGAGTCCATCGAGGGCAAGCAGGGCAAGCCCCGCCTCAAGCCGCCCTTCCCTGCGGACGTGGGTACGGCCCCGCAGCTCCATCCCAAATTCCTGGCTGCTACCCCAAACTGGCTGTCCCTGGGGGTACCGACGCAGCCACCACCACATCCATTGGGAGCTCCCAGTGTTTAATAGAATGACAGCCTGGTTTGGGTGAGAAGGGACCTTAAGGATCATCCCATTCCCACTCCCTGCCATGGGCAGGGACACCTCCCACTAGACCAGGTTTCTCCAGACTGGCTTGGACACTTCCAGGGATGGGGCAGCCACAGTTTCCCCGGGAAATCCATCCCAGGGCCTTCCCCACCCTCCCAGGGAAGAACTTTCTCCTTCCGTTTCCCAGGTGTTTTCGGCTGCCCCACCACAGTGGCCAACGTGGAGACAGTGTCAGTGGCACCCACGATCTGCCGGCGCGGCGGCGCCTGGTTCGCCAGCTTCGGCCGGGAGCGGAACTCGGGCACCAAGCTCTTCAACATCTCGGGGCACGTGAACACGCCCTGCACCGTGGAGGAGGAGATGTCGGTGCCGCTGAAGGAGCTCATCGAGAAACACGCCGGTGGGTGCCGGGGCTGGGCCGTGCCGTGCCGGGGCGGGCCTGGAGCGGCTGCTCCTCACCCCCTCTTTTTGCAGGGGGGGTCCGTGGTGGCTGGGACAACCTGCTGGCTGTGATCCCGGGGGGCTCCTCCACGCCGCTGCTGCCCAAGTCAGTGTGCGAGACGGTGCTGATGGACTTCGATTCCCTGGTGCAGGCGCAGAGCGGGCTGGGCACAGCTGCCGTCATCGTCATGGATAAATCCGTAAGGGACCGGCCCCCTGCCCTGCGCCCCCAGCCCTTCACCCTCCCCTCCCTCCCCTCACCCTCCTCTCCCACCCCCCAGACCGACATTGTCAAGGCCATCGCCCGCCTCATCGAGTTCTACAAGCACGAGAGCTGCGGGCAGTGCACCCCGTGCCGGGAAGGTGAGGCCGGGGGAAGGCTGCGGGGCGAGGGGTTGCACAGCACGGAGCCCTGACCCCTCCCCACCCCGCAGGCGTGGACTGGATGAACAAGGTGATGGCGCGGTTCGTGCGGGGCGACGCGCAGGCGGCCGAGATCGACGCGCTCTGGGAGATCAGCAAACAGATCGAGGGGCACACCATCTGCGCCCTGGGCGACGGCGCCGCCTGGCCCGTGCAGGTGGGGGCCCGGGGGAGTCCTGTGGGAGGCCACCAACCTCTCCCTGCCCTGGTAACCGGCTCCTTTGCTCCTGCAGGGCCTCATCCGGCACTTCCGCCCCGAGCTGGAGGAGAGGATGCGGCGCTTCGGGGAGGCCAAAGCCCGAGCGGCGTCAGCGTAAGGATGCAGGACCACCCGTTCCTTTTCCTGCCTGGAAGGGGGTTCAGGGGGTTCTGGGTTTCTGGCAGCACTTTGGGAGGGTTCTGTGGAGGGACCTCAATAAATGCTGCTGCACTCGTGGGCTCTGTGGTGGACATTAAATGGTGGGAAGGGACTGATGGGGGGGGGCTTTGGGTCCTGCCTCCCTCGACCAGGGGATCCCCAGGGATCATGCGGTCTGGGTACCCCAGAGGGGAGATCCCAGCTTTCCGTGAGGCTCTGCAGCCCCTCTCTGGGACTGGGCAGAGGCAGTGGCTGTGGGGGGATCACATGGACACAGCTCTTTGTCCATGCTCCCTGCCACAGTGTCCCCAGGACACCTCCTGCTGTACCAGTGCCAGGGGACAGCTGTCCTGGCCACGCTTCATGACTTGGAGCCCGGGGCAGTTCCAAACATGGCTTTTACTGAATCACAGTGTGCAACATCACCAGTGGCTTCGGTGCCCCAGAGCCACCCCCTGTCCCCTCCTCCCTCAGGCCACGGGTTTCCGGGCTGGCACGTGGGTCTTCCTGCGGTAGCGGCCGGGCAGCAGCAGCTCCAGGGTGAGCTCGGTGATGATGGCCGTGAGCCCCCACACCCTGTGGGGGCCGTTCAGGAACACGGGCAGGGTGTACCCGTAGCCGGTGGCCGTGCGGAAGTGGGTGTAGCCCTGGTTCTCCTCCCGCAGCAGGTGAGCCAGGGGCAGGGTGAACACCTCCTCCACCTGCCGGCACAGGTGAGGGGGTCACCGTGGTGACACACCCAGTGACACCAGTAAAGGGCTGCAGGCCCCAGGGAGGGGTCACCCACCTCGTCGGGGTTGGGGGTCAGTGTCAAGGCCTCCAGCGGCCCCAGGTTGGCCACGACGGGCGCTATGGTCATTCCTTGCTGGAAGGTGTGTCAGCGAGGGATGGGGTGACAACCCCCTCTCCAAAGTGCAACCGTGTGCCTTGACCTCCCTGCACCCAACCCAGGCCCCCACCATGTGTGTGTCACCCAAAACCCCCCCTTCACCTGCAGCCACTGCCCTGTGTCCCTGTCACCCTAAATCCCCAGAACTCCTGTCACCTGTGTCCCTGCTGACTTGTCCCTATCACCTGTAAGCCCTGTCACTTGCGTCCCCATCACACCAAACCCATTACCCACGTCCCTGCTGCCTTGTCCCTGTCATCCTGAACCCATCACCCATGTCCCTGCTAACCCAAGTCCCCTATCACACGTGACCCAGCTGCCTGACCCTGTCACCTGTAACTCCTGTCACCTGCATCCCTGCTGCCTTGTCTCTGTCACACCAAACCCCTGTCACACGGAAACTCCCGTCCCTGTCACCTCAAACCCATCACCCAGGACCCTGCCCCTTCGTCCCTGTCACCCAGAACCCCATCACCCGTGTCCCTGCTGCTTTGTCCCTGTCACTTGGAAGCCCTCCTCTGTGTCCCTGCTGCCGTGTTCCCGTCACCCGTGTCCCTGTCACCCATAACCCTTGTCCCCGCCACCTCGAACCCGTCACCCATCATCGAACCTGTCACCCGTGACCCCGTCACCGATTTCCTGCCCCTTGCCCTTGTGTCCTTGTCCCCCCCCCGCGCCCTTGTCCCGCGCCCCCGGTGCCCGGTACCCGGTCGGGCAGGGTCCGCAGCTGTCCCCACACGCTGGCTGCTGCCACCGCCACCCCCAGCTCCTCCCGCGTCTCCCGCAGCGCCGTGGCCACCGCGTCCGCGTCCGCCGGGTCCCGCCGCCCGCCGGGGAAGCTGCGGGAGGGACCGGGGTGGGGTCAGGGCCGGCCCGGCCCCGGCGCCCGCTCCCCCCGCCGGTACCTGACGTCGCCGCTGTGGGGGCCGCCGAGGCGGCGGGAGCGGAGCGTGAAGAGCAGCGCGGGGCGGCCGCGCACCGAGCACAGCGGCACCAGCACCGCGGCCGCGGCCGCCGCGCCCCCCGCGCCCCCCGCCGCCAGCCGCGCCCGGCACCGCCGCTCGCTCCCGCCGCTCAGCACACCCCCGGCGTCCGCGGCACCGGCGGCACCGGCACCGGCACCGCCCGGGCCCGCCATGGCGCCGGCACGGGGATTGGGAAGGGAGGGACCGGCTCCGCCTCCCCCGACCGAGCCCGCCCCCGGCCGCCCCGGGACGGGAAAGGCCCCGCGGGTGCGCGACGGCCCCGCCCGGTGTGCGACAACCCCCTCCGGGTGTGACGCGGCCCCCGCCAGGTACGAAACTCGTCCGCCGGCTTTGCGATGCCCCTGCCAGGCGTGCGATCCTCTTGCTTGGGTGTGCGACGGCCGCTGCCTTTGCAAGGTCCCTGCCGGGTGTGCAAGTCCTGCTCCGGCCGTGCAACAGCCCCCTCCAGGTGTGCAACAACCCCGGCCAGGCGTGCGACTCCCCTCCCAGCTTTACACGCACCCCTGGGTGTGCAAACCTCGCACCAGGGTGTGCAACCCTCACCTCACCCCCCTCCGTGGGCTTTGCAGTGACCCCCTCCGGGTGTCCAACAACCCCTTCCCGGTGTACACTTCCAAACCTTTCCAATCCCACCAGGTGTTGTGCGTTTCCTTCCCTTTTCACAGCCCCCACGTGCCACCACACCCTCGCTGTCCCTCTGTGCCTGGGAGTGTCAGGACTCTGCCCTGGATGTCCTACCTGGAGAACACCTGGAGTGAGCGAGGGGAAACCGAGGCCCCCTGTGACACCTACACAGCCCATCTCAGCACAGGTGGTTACTTGTAAGGGGGTGACAATTCCAGGTGCTGTCACCTCACGGGGGAATTTCCCCTGTGTAAAGAGCCTCAGCAGTGTCTGAGGCTGGGAAAAAGGCTCCTGGATAAATGAGGGAATGCTGGAGACCTGTCAGCCCCGCTTCCTGGGAAACCCCTGTGAAAAAAAGACTCTCACACATGCCCTTTCAGCTCTCAGCAGGAAATGATTTTTAAAAAACTGTATAGAAATCATCACTCTCCATGATTCTTTGCTTCCGGAGCCCAGCATCAGCTCCACAATCCCGCTCCCGCCTCTGGAATCAGCGGAACCTCCGCTCGTCCCACACGTATCGCTTCCCCACCGGCACCTTGCGGAAGAACAGGCTGTTCCCTCGGCTCATGTTGCCCTGGAAAGGGAAAATGACCACGGATCAGCCACATGAGACCTGGTGTGGCCCCCCCAAACCCCCCGGGGCTCCCACCCGGCTCCTCGCCACGTTCCAGTGTATCCCGGTGCATCCCGGCTCCAGCACTTACCTCCCTGTGCAGCTGGCTCCAGCAATCCAGCCAGGAGGAGTAGGTGGGTGCGTAGGGAAGGAGACCCCCAGCCAGCCTGGGGAAGGGAGGGAAGACCCACCGGGAATTACTCCCACAGGGAATCATTCCCACCCAGGGAGGTGGGATCCGTCCCCTCCACAGCTCCACACTAGGTTGAACCCAAAAAGCTTTGCCGCCCCAGTCAAAGAGGGATCAACCCTGTGGAGAGCTGGAAACACCTTTTCCATCTGGGAACTTCAGAAAGGTGGTTCCAGGAGCTGATCCAGGCAGAGGGACATGGATGTTCCCAGGATTGGGGACTCACCCGCAGTTGTTCACGGCCATCAGGTTGGACACCAGGACGAAGGGGTAGGTCAGCATGCTGGCGAAGAACTGCAAGGAAAAGCAGGGATAACAGGATGTTCCCTCTTCCCTCTGCGTGGGGAGAACCAGCCCCTAAAGATCCCCTGGGAATTGTGCCCCAGGGAGGGAGCCCACTGCTGCCACCTCCATGGGCTGACACATGTCCTCCATGGAGCATCCCCTGGCCTGTGAGCTGATCCAGCTGATCCCAGCCTGGCTCCATGCCCACCGTGGCAGCCGCAGGATTTTGGGAGCACACCATTCCCTAGGGAAAGGATCCAATTCCCACCCATGTGCTGTACTCACCCCAGTGACTGCCTGCGAGTAGCTCTTCATCTCAGCCATGGTGGAGACCTGTGGAAGGAGGAGAGGCACCTGAATTCCCCCACAAGAGGGTTGTGGCCCCCTGGACCATCCCTGGAGGTTCCTCCCGCCAGCCCCTGTCCCCCCGGATCCCGGAATCCGTACCCCATTCTCCAGCGCGTACGTGTTGATGAGGTAGGCCAGCATGTTGCAGAGCCACAGGGACAGGATGTCCCCGAGGAGCCGCGGGATGAGGCCGCTGGAAAGGAAGAAACAGCGGGAATGTTAGCTGAGGGTTCGGGTGTGGCTGTGCAGAGAGCTGGGAACAGCTCCTTTGGGATGCTGGGGTGGGGCTGTTCCCAGAGTAGGCGAGTGACGGGGGCACAGCCACCCCCGCAGGCAGGGATGCTTGGATGGATGATCCATAGGGGACACAGGAGCTGCTGGAGGGACCAGAATGCTCCCAAGAAGGGCCACCACACCTTCGCACTAGTGTCATGCCCCTCCTCCCTCCCCGGCACTCACGCGAAGAATCCCAGGATTCCCTCTTCCCGGTAGATCGTGGCGAAGGCGCTTAGTGTCCCACTGGGAAGGGGAGGAAGAGGATGGATGAGCTGGGGGGATCCTGGGATCCCCAGCCCCCCCCAGAGCTCCCCCAGGCCGTACCTGTACTTGGTCTCGCGGCCGATGAACTGCACCATGCAGCGCAGGGTGATCACTGCGGGCACACGGGGACAGTGGGGACACAGCGGGGACATCGGGGGGACAGGGGGCACCTGGCCCTCCCTCCCCGGCCCCCGGGGTCAGGAGGCACCTACCGTGGAAGGGGTGGGTGATGAGGGTGGCAGCGGAGCGGGCGACCATCTCCCGGGAGGTCTGGGGACAAACGGGGCGTCACCGGGAGGGGTCGGGGCCAGGACACCCCAGAGCCACCCCCCTGCTCCTGCTCCTCACCTCTTTCAGTACCTGCTCCAGCGACGACACCGGCTCCTTCTTGCTGGCTCCAGGCTGGGAGGGAGGAAAGGTCAGGGGGGAACCACCCGCGGTCCATCCAGACACGTGAGGGGGTTGGCAGATCCCGGCCCTCCCTCCAGAGTGTTCTGGGAGCAGGGCAGAGTCTGCCCGAGGCCAAGGTGAGTGGGAAGGGGGGGAGGGAAATCATGGAGGGAGAAGGGAGGGATGGAGGGAAGGGACAGAGAAATGGAGAGGGGAAGAAAGGAGAAGGCAGGGATGGAGAAAGGAGAGAAGGAAGATTCCCCGAGGGAAGCCCCTCTGCACCCACCTCAGCCTGCTCGGCCTCCTGGTAGTGCTGTGAAGCAAAGGGCAGGGTCAGCACCGCCGGGGGGTCTCGGTGTCCCCGTCCCCGGCGGCAGAGCCCCCCTGGCTGCCCCTGCCCGTGCCGGTACCTGCAGCACTTTGCTGTGCACCACGGTGCCGATGGCGCTGGAGCACAGCCGCGGGGCCAGGCCTTTGAAGAGTCCCGCTCTTCCGTCCACCTTCACGATGTGCTTGGCTGGGGACACCGGGGACCGTCAGCCCCGGGGGAACCCCATGGCTGCACCGGGGCGGCCCCACCGGGGCAGCCCCACCGGGGCGGACTCACCGTAAGAGAAGAGGCCGGGCAGCTGGTACACCTGGCGGCCGAAGATGTTCCTCCCCAGGGTGGGCGGCAGCGGCTCGTAGCCCACCTGCGGCGGGGACAGGCGGCTGCATCCTACCGCGGCCGGTACCGAGCCCCGCACCCCCCGCCCACTCAGCCCTTACCTGCACCAGCACCTTCACGTACATGAGCGGCTGCGAGAGCACGGTGAGCCCCGAGCCCAGCAGCACCTGCGAGGCCGCGTCCGCCATGGTGCCGCCCCGGCGTCACGGCACAGAAGGACACGGCCGCCGCCGCCGCCGCCGCTTCCGCTTCCGCCTCCCCCGGTACTTCCGGTGCCGCCGTGACGCGAATCCGGCCGCCAGGGGGCGCAGCGGGGACGCAGCGGAGTTGCCATGGGAACGGCCGGGTCGCCACGGCGGCATTGCCATGGCAACGGGGCCCGCGGGGACCCCACGGTGACAGGGCTGAGGGGACACCAGGGTGGCCCGGGGCCAGGTGCCTGCAGCCTCTGGGGGACAAGGGGCCCCCGCGGGGACGCTGCAATTAGAACGGGCGCCAGCAGGCCGGGGCACAAGGGGGCGGGCGGGTCCCAGCAGGGGCTCTGCTCCGGCACCAGGAAGGGCTCCGGTGTGGTTGGGGTGGGGACATGCGCCCAAGGCAAGGCAGGGACAGGGAGAGCCCCCCCCAGACGCGGTGCTGGGCGTTGTGTGAGGCTGCAGGCTCTCAATCACAGCTCGGCTCATGCCCAGGACTCCACCGCCGGCCGGAGCCAGCGCTGCCTGTGGTGCAGACGTGTAGATGCTGCCCAGAGGGGTGACACGGGGGTCTCTTCCCTGCCCATCTTCTGGCCTTGAGGGGAGCAGCACTGCAGCCAGAGGGCTGGGGGCAAGAGGGGACACCCACCGCAGCCAGGGCTCACCTCGGCAGCAGCCATGGAAGTGTGGATGTGCACAAAGCTGCCGAATGGCTCCAGGACTGGCCCCCCACCAAAGCCCCCTTGTGCCCCCACCCTCCCTCCCCTCCCCACGGGCATCCCGCAGGCCCCAAGGGTGCGAGAGCTCCAGGAGCTGGGACACAGGCACCACTCTGCCTCCAGCCTGGAGTGTTCCGGGGGTGGTGGTGACCCAAGGGCAGGACCCAGCACTTGGCCTTGTTGACCCTCACACCGTTGGCCTCAGCCCATGGATCCAGCCTGTCCAGACCCCTCTGCAGAGCTTCCTGCCCTCCAGCAGGTCCACATCCTACCCAAGTTCGTGTCATTTGTGAATTCACTGAGGGTGCCCCTGATCCCCTCATCCTGAATATCCTGGATTACAAGGGTCTCATTCTGCCCCCCATGCCAGTCTACCACCCACCCCCAGCAGGATCAAACAGCTGGCCCTTCCCAAACTTCCACAATTTATTGGACAATGGTCAAGGGAACTGTACATCTGTAAAAAAAAAAGAGAGCTTGGTGTGTGGCACTAACGTGCCTCAAGTGCTCGAGGCAGTTTTCCTCCGCTTCAGCCGCGCGCGCCAGTCCTCGGGCAGCGCCTCGAAGTTGGCATTCCTCTCTGCCATGCCACTGTGGGACAGAGCGGGGTGTCAGCACTGCAGGGCCCTGCTGCAGATCCCCCCCCTTCACAGGGCACGAGGTGCTGGCCCCCAGGGTCCATACCTCATCAGCTGCTGCTGCTTCCACTCCTCAATGCGCCGCTGGGCTGTGGTCTCCCGGTCCTCCTCGCTGGAGCTGGAGTTCTCCTCCTCATCCAGCTCTCGCTGGATACTCTGCCACTTCTTCACCAGCGACGGCATCTTCGTCTTGCCCTTCTTGCCCTGTGCCACAAGCGCAGCCGCGGTGAGCGCGGCTGGAGAGGGAGGAGAGGGGGAATGGCGCCGGCAAGGGCCCGCCCGACCCACCTACCTTGTCCTTGCGCCCCTTCCTCGGCTTCTCCTTGTCTGGCGGCGGCGGGGCCTTGGGGGCGGGCGGCGGGGGTGTCTGTGGGGGCGGCGGGGGTGGTGGCTGCTCGGCGGCGGGCAGGGCCCCCCGTGCCGGGGCGGGCTGCGCGGCGGCCGCGGTGCCCAGGCTGACGGGAGCGGCGCACTCCGAGTATCCCATCACAGAAGGCGCAGCTGGAGCCGTCACACCCAGGTAGCCGGACTGCAGCCCCAGCGCCGCCGTGGGCTGGGGGCCGGCGTGGCCCGGGGCCATGCGGAGGTTGGGGCGGCCCTGGATGTCGCTCTGGAGGCGCTGGCGGGGCCGCAGGGAGGCCAAGGGCACAGCTGATGGCTGGTACTTGCTGGTGGCCATCAGGGGCTGGCTGTAGATGACGGGGCAGCTGCCGATGGTGGCCGTGCGCTGCATCAGCCCAGGGCTCATCTCCACAGCTTTCCTCTTCTGCGGCTTGGTCGACATCAGTGGGGCTGGGCTTGGATCGACAGCGCCCTGGAAGAAGGCACTGAGGTAAATGCTGAGCCAGGAACACCATTACACACCCCCTTCCCAGATTCCCACTCTCCGGAATCAGCAGAGCCCTGGCTTGGCAGCTCACCTGGCTGCTGCTGGCAGCAGGGCGCACCAGAGACTTCAAGGGAGCATCCTCCTCTGTTCCTGGGGCAGGGGGCTCCTCGCCCCCCTCATCTTCCATCTCCACTTCCTGGATCTCCCCATCTTCTCCAGGTGGTGGGGGGGGCGGTGGGGGCGGTGGTGGTGAGTCGGGGGGAGGTGGAGGCGGCGGAGGCATTTCCAGAGGCAAGGGAGGTTGGAGGACCGGGACAGAGGACTGAAGCAGAGTCCAAAATGGAGTGAGCGGCATGAGAGACGTAGCAGGAACTTGGCCTGAGAAGGATTCTTTACAAAGGGAGCCTAAAGAACACATTGACATGGGCTTGAACATTCGGGCTCTGGGCTGCGCCGCCTGCTCCTGCCCGCGCTCTCGTTCGGGACACTGGGACAGCTGGGACGGTGAAGGCACTGCCATTGGCAACTGCTCTGCCCCAACACCCCCCCCTTTGGGGCCAGAACCCCCCAACAACTTCCCAGTCCCGCTATGGCCGTACCTGCGGGGCGCTCGGCGGGCTCCTCGGCGCGCTCTCCTTTGTCTTTGGGAGGGGGCTTAGGAGGACCGTCGGGTTTTCTGTCGGCGCTTCGTTGTCCCTCCTCTTCGTCCTCCCCGTCGGGGAACTCCCATTGCGACTCTCCCGAGCGTTCGTTAACATAGAAATAGCGTCTATGCTCCCTAGATCACAAGAAAGAGAAGGAGGCTTCAGCTTCCCTTCTCCGCCCCCGACACTCCAGGCGGGCCTGCCCACGACAGCGGTGCGCTCTCGCAGGGGAGACCCTCGTGCAGCGGGGCTGCCGCTCTCCCAAACGCGACAAACAACTTTGAGGACAGAGGCAGGAGAGGCCCGAGCCGACTCGCTCAAAGCTATTTGCCATGGCTGGCTGCGGGACGTCGCCCTGAGCCCCCCGCCCCAAGGGAGGGGAGGGCCGGGAACGCCGGTGACGTCTCGCTAAAGCATCGGGACTTTCAGCACGGCCTTGGCCGAAAGTCGCCCTCCGAGAAGAGGCACCGGGGAACAGCCCAATGGAGGGAAGCGGCTGCCCCCCTACCCCGTGGTGCGCGGAGGTTTTTTATGATACTCTTGGTGTCAAACACACAGTGAATGCTAGAGAGAGGGAGCGGATCTGGGAGCTGAAAAACAAAAGAGCAAAGATTTCAAACAAAGGAAAATTAATCAAGAAAGCCAAATAGACAAAGAAATGTTTGGGTCTGACCTGCTGGCAGAAGACAGAAATCTTGTTCTTCATTCCGTCGGTGAGTTGAAGTTTGTCCTTTGGCAGAGCTGTTGGTCAGAAGAGTTGATCCAGAGATCCTGAAAAGTTCACAGAGCTCTCGCATGCGCGACCCCCCAGGCCCGCCCTCCACAGCGCTTGACACTCGCGAGAGGGACAACCAGCTCTGTCCGTCAGGGAATCGGCTCCGTCGCAAAGCACTGGGCACTCCGTTTGGATCTTTCCGTTTGGTGGCCGGCCCAAACTCTGCGAGTGCCGGGATGTTTCTCTGCCTGCCCAGCACTAACAGAAGCCGCTCTCAGTTCTGCCAGAGGGACGGCGCCAGCGTCGTCGGGTGGTTGATGGTCACAAATCATGTCTGAGATGTCAGAGATGAAAGGTGAGAAAGGAGGAGAGCGCGTACCTGTCCCAGTGGCAGGACCAGCCTTTAGGGGTGGCGTTTATTTCGTATTGTTTAAGCTGTTCGGCTGCGTCTTGGAGTTTGCGTTTGAGGTAGTTTCCATTGAGAGCACCTTCTCGCCAGTCTGCAATGCGGGTCTAGAGGGCAAGAACCGGGGGAAGCCGGTGAGGTGGGCTGGGAGCGGCCCCAGGGGGGACGGGACTCGAGGATCGGGAGGCTCCCTTCCGACACGGGATACCGGGGGCCAGGAGGGGGACACCCCGCCTGGGCATGAAGCCATGCTCTCCCCCCGCCGAGGAAGGGAGGGCCCTGCGTGGCGAGGAGCCACGAGGTTCACACAGCACCGGCGCTCGGACGGCGGATTGGATCCAATCCGCTCCGGAACACGAGGCCGGAGCGGGGGGCGAAGGCTCGGTTACCTCTGTCTGCAACAGCAACATGTGGAAGTTGGAGATAGATTGTCTGTTGATGCCCAGGAACTCCAATTTACTAGTCAGAGTATTTGCCAGCTCTCCGATCTGAAACTGCCAGGAGAAAGGGCAGAGTCAAGAGCAGCCCTCCGGGAGAGGCACCGGGCGGCTGCGGCCCCACGGCTCCCAGGAAACACTGCTCGGGAACACCGGCAGCCCCTCAGCCCGGCGGGACTGGGACGTGCCACCCTGGCCCTGTGTGCCTGTCACCCCCCCAATCCTGCACCCCAGGGACAGGGCAGTGTGGGGAGGCCGGGTGACACCTCCTCCACAGACCGTGCCCGACTCCGTGCGGAAGGACAGCAGAGGCTCGGGTTGCTCTGGTACTCTGGAGTTACAGCAGAGCCACTGCCACGGCAGAAAGTGTAAAATCTAATTGTTTCCCAAATAAACGGGACGGGATGACATTCCAGGCTCTATAAAGCATTGCTTTCCAGAAGAACTAGCTGGAAAGCGCCAGAAAGGGGCAACAGCAGCTATGTCAAAACTCAGGTCAGCCCACGGTGACCACAGCTACTCAACCCCAGTGTCCTATGGGAGTGAAACCTCCCATCCGGGGACACAGGGATCCCTAGGTCCATCTCCCTGACTGGGGGCACTGCATGGAAGCAGCCACGAGCCAGAAAGGAATGAGAAGCAGGAACAGGGATGCCTGCAAGGGGCATTGCCACTGCTTTAAGGAGGGCTCAAAAAATGTCTGGTTTTAGCTTCATTCCTCAGAAAAGGCTTAGGAATGTCCACAATGCCAGCAAGGCAGCATCTGTCCCCAGAGAGGGGCCAGGCCAGATAGACAAGCCCTAGAGAAGCCTGAGGCTGGGATATGAATTCCCATGTTAACATGGCTCCAGAGAAGCCAGGGAAGATCTCAGAGCAGAGAGTGACTTGGCAGCAGCGGCCCCGGTGCAGCTCCTGTAACCAGAGAGGTTATCCCGACCCGATGAGCAAACAGTACCGGTTACCCGGGGAGCCGGCATTCCTCCGACAGCTCTAAGGGAATCCTGCATGGAAAAGCACCACGGGGACTGTCACCATGCCTGCCGGGACCGGGAGGACAGGGGACAGCACAGGGGACCAGCGAGCCCCGCCCTGCCACAGGCTTTTGTTATTTTAATTTAAATAAAACGATTAAAAAAATCAGGTCTTGCACGGATGCTGCACTGAGGGAGACTCAGTTTTGCGCTGGGAACATCACACTGCTAAACCTTTGAAGAGTTTTTTTATGGGAGAAAGGTGGAATTTTTCACAAGGACAGCACCAAAGCCCTTCCCTTTCGCACCAGTAAAATGATTAAGGGGTGTGAAATGAGGTCAGGGATGGGCAACTCTCGCTGCAGGTTCCACCCAGGCTCCAACCACGAGCTGATGATTCCCCATCTGCCACAGTGAGGTGACAACATTTCCCAACGCCACTCTGGAGCCAAATTTTATGCTGCAGGAGATCTCAGGGTAACGAACGACAAGGGAATCATCCAAAGGACAATCAGGAAAGTTCTCCCCTACTGCTCTGCCATGCTCTCCCAGAGCCCAGAGCTCTGCTATGGATCAGGGAATCGATGTGCTGCAGCCAAAAGAGCAAACCAAGGCTCGGGAAAGAAAATATCAGCAGGATGCTGCAGAAATCCCCAGGGCCTCCCTGGTTTGCCTCTACAAGTAATGCTGGGCAAAGGGCAGAGCGGTACCGTCAGCCTCCAGAAACGGAGAGAGTATGGACGAGGAGTCTTCAGCCTGGAAACGGGACGACTGACCGGGCCAGAGACTGGAATATCGTTATTGGTGAAAACAAAGTCAAGATCAAAGTGGTTCTCTGTCACGACAACACCCAGGGCTCAGTCTTTGCCCCCCCCCGCACCCTCCTTTTATCCAAGCTTTTGCTGCTGGATCCTGCTGGAGACAGGATTTTGTCCCAGTGCTGCACAGCCCTTCCTTCACAAGCTGTTCCCGTGGCCACACCAGGATGTGAGCTTTAAGAGCTCCACCTGGGCCAAAGCCAGAGCCCAAAGCTCTGGTGTTCCCCGGGAGGAGGCGGCTGGGGCAGCCAGCGTGTCCCTTGTCCCTGCTGAATGCCGAGGACCCATCACATCCCTCACCTCACCGACATGCACCTCTGCTTATCCGTACCTTTAGGTCCTGCTCCTCCTCTTCCATTTTTGGAGCCCCTTGGGATTTTGCTTTTTCCTGGGGCTCCTCAGATTCTGCCTCTTTGTCTGAGCTCTGATCAGCTGCTTCCACGCTTGGGGCTGCAGGAGAAGGAAGGACAGGTCAGTCTTTGTCCCACCACCACCCCAGCAGTGCCGGCACCCAGCTGGACACCCTGCCCAGAGCCAAAGCCCACGTGGGAAAGGGCAGGGAAAGAGCTGGGATCTCTATTCCATGAGAGCCAGTGACAAGAGCCTGAAATTAAAAAGGAGAGAGGATCACTGCTCTGTGTTTTGGTGGTGGGGCCCTTCCAGAAGGATAACACAGGGAGGATTGGAGCTGCTACAGCACAAAGCAGGAAGGAAGAACGGCCTGGAATACAAGGCATCTCAAAATCTATCAGTTTAATAACCAGTCAATAAAAGCTACGGGGTATTAAATAAGTTAATTATCAAAGACCGAAGAGCTCCCCAAAAGTTGTCAAGACCAGAGGGTTTTGCCTCTGGATAACTAATTCACTGTCCAAGTGACAAATTCCAGGGAGAGAAGTTTGTGATAGAATCCTGAAGCCCCCAAGGGGAAAGAAACCCCAATTCCCAGTGTGTGTGTCCTGGTGCTGCAAGGCAGGACAATCCCCTAAATCACCCTCCCGCAGAAAGGTGCTCAATTTAAACTGGTTGTTTCGGAGTGACAGTTTCCTGTTCCTCAGGTTAAGAAGGGGGAAATGGGTGCTGCTGGGAAGAGTCAGCTTCAGGGATGCTTGGAAAGCCCTCTGGTAAAACCACTCCTTGGAGCCACTATGGAAAAATGACATCACTGACTTAGTGCCAGAGTTGTCACCCCGCTCACGCCGCTGCCTGGAGCAGAGGCACCTTAGGGAATGGGGCAGGCACCAACACAGCCTGCTGCAGGCACTTTTGTACCAGTTTTTCCTTGGAAAAGCAGTTTCATTCAGCTTTCTCTGCTGCAGGCAGTTGGCCTGAAGCCTCATGCTGTGAAGGGACTGGCACATCTGGAGAAAAGGAGGCCCGGGGGAATCTTCTCCTTCCCCACATCTCCCTGACAGGAGGGGAGAGCCAGGTGGGGATCGGGCTCTGCTCCCAGGGAACAAGTGACAGGACAAGAGGAAATGGCCTCAGGCTGTGCCAGGGGAGCTTTAAGTTGGGTTTTAGGGAAAATTTCTCCATGGAAAGGGGTGTCCAGCCCTGGCACAGCTACTCAGGGCAGCAGTGGAGTCCCCCTCCTTGGAGGCATTTAAAAGCAATATGGATGTGGCTCTTGGGGACATGATCAGTGATGGCCTTGGCAGCCTTGAGGGAACAACTGGACTCCATGATCTCAGAGGGCTTTTCCAACCTTAACAATTCCATAATTCTACAGTCTAGGAGTCCTGGGGCTGCTGGGCACTGGGTGTTCTTTTAAATGCTGCAGCTGGTGCATTCTGGGAATCACAGCACTGGAGGATCTGACAGGAACATGAGGAGTGGTTGTGGGCAACTGATATGTCCACACACACCTGGAATGGATCTGGGACTACCTTGCCACAAGGGCTGGAGTTACATTCCCCACACACGGAGTGTGGAGCCCAAGTGGCTCTGGGGAAACCTCAGCTGTCTGGAATTCGGCCACTGTTACCAGGCAGCTCAGAAACTGGCCTTTGAAAGAGGAAGGCAACAGTTCCCGGCGTGCCACAGGTTGGATTTGTGCTGTTGAGAGGAAGTCAAAGGCAGTGGGATGTGAGGAAGCTGTTATCCACGTCCCTTCTCCCAACAAACCAGATCATGGGCACTCTCCTGTTTATATGATTAACAAGGATAAAGGACAGAATATGGCAGAGAACAGCTTGTCCTGGTGAGGCAGGGCTGTGGCACTGGTGACAGCCACCCCTCGGCCTTGTCCCCACACGTACCTCACGGCCCTTCCCGGCTCTGCTCCGCAGGTCTTCGGGGAAGGGAGACCCCCCGCTCCTCCCTCCGAAGGGAGCCTTTCCAATTACCTGCTTCTCCCACTTCTGGGCTCTCCCTGCCCGTTTTGCTGGAGCCTCGGCTGGCAGACTCGGGGCTGGCGGCTCCGGCCAGCAGTTTCCATTTCCCTCTCTTGGAGGCCAGCCTGCGGGACGTGTCCTGCGAGGCCGACTGGCTCCTGTCGGACCGCGGGCTGGAGCCCGAGACGCTGCCATCGCCTTCCTCCAAGGCACGCAGCTCTGCCTGCCAGGACAGGACACCCCGGGTTATTCCCAGTAATGCCATGGCTGCTGCCTGTGCAGTCTTATTTCCGGGACAAACATCCCCCCCTACCTTCTTCCTTTCCAGCACCATCTCCAGCTCAAGCGTGTCCTGCTCCTCCTCTTCCTCCTCAGCGCTCTCCCCCGACTGCACCACACTGCACAGATCCTCCTGCCCTGTGTCTTCCAGGGGGTCCCTGCTGGGCTCTGGCTCTTCGGGGGCAGTCGGCGTCTCTTCCGCTTTCGCCTCCTCTTCCGGAGGCGGCTCAACCTCCTCCTTGCAGATCACCTTCCTCCTCCAGCGCTCCTCTTCCTCCTTCACCACGTCGGGCAGCAGCGGGGCCAGGAGGGCCGCGGCCACGCCCTTCCTCTCCTCCTCGCTGTTGGAGAGGGCCTGCACGCCCTCGTTCACTTCCTGTGGGATGAGCTCTGCCTGAGCTTTCCGGCCCTGTGCTGCTGGGGCCCCTCCTGGGGCTGTGGATGGAGAGGAGCGACCCACCCACTTTCAAGGAAGCCCAAGGAAGTGCCTACAAGCCCTGGGGGAACCAGAACCCGCCTGACTGACCTTCTTCACCTCCCGCTTGCTGAGGCTGGTCCCGCGGCCGGCGCTGCCCAGGGTCCCCTTCTCCTGCGGGAACGGCTCCGTGGCTGCCACAAAGCTGCCGTTGGCACCTGCCACGGTGCTGCTGAGAGAGAGAGGAGAGAGAATGAATGGTGGGATTGGGACAACACCCCGTGGAGCAACGTCCCAGGGGTCTCACCCACCTGTGCTGGTAGTGCTGCAGGCCCTGGATCTGCGTCGCCAGGTACTGCGGCAGCTCCCAGGTCACCTCGTTGCTCTGCGTGTTCCAGTAGTAGTAGCAGCCGGTGTTCTCGTCCCACACTTCCTGCCAGTCACCCATCTCCAGCTCTCCCACTGCCGGGAGGGACAAGGACAGCCCGTCACGCCCTTCCCCTGGTGACACCTGCCTGTCCCCGTTCCCTGTGGGGATGGGAAGGGCTCTCACCTCCGGCCAGCGAGCACTGGGTGTCATACTGCCACTCCGGGGCCGGCGCCGTGCCCGCGCCGTTGGCTGTGCCCGCAGACAGGCCCGTGCCTGAGTCCTTTGGCTCTGGGCGGGGCGGTGTGGGGGGAGGCACAGAGGAGGAAGAGGAGGAGGGGGCAGCAGTGGGCTCTGCGGGCTGCGGAGGGGCCGTGATGGCATCGATCTCCTGTAAAAACAACACCCCACCGTGAGCTTCGAACGCCAGGCCGAATCAAAGCACTTACTAGAAGGGGACAACGTGTTGGATCATGGAACTCCCCTCCTCCTGCCACTCCTCCTGCCCTAAAAAGACCCCCTGGCCCTCCCTGGAGTGGCACTCACCGCCAGGAAGTTGGCCAGGGTGCTGTCGATGTCGGTGGAATTGCTGCCGTTGGCATCCATGGAACGGGCCGGCTTTTCCAGGTTCTCGCCCTCCTCATCGTCACTGTCGGCATAGGCTCCCAGCAGACACAGACCTCCTGGAGAAGGGAGGAGTGAATCCTCAGGGGGATCCTTCCTGCTGCCACAGGGTATTGGATCCGACCCCACACCCTCCGCTCCGGTGGTCCCACTGTCAGCCCAGGGGGAAGCAGTAGGGTTGGCTTCTGGGGACGGGCATCCCCTTCCCGCGAGCATTCCGGGAATAAACACCACCCTGCCCTCTTCTAAACAGCCACAGGGGTATATGCTGACTGCCAAAACTGTGAGGGACCAACCCCTGAACACAGAGGGGGCAGGAAATACCCCCCATGGCGAAAAGAACTCGGCATGAGGAGGGAAAAATCAAATCCCCACGCCGGAAAAAAAGATTCGTGGGTGGGGGGGTCAGAATCCCACAAAACCTGAAACCCTCCATTTTTTATCATTATAAATAATTTTTATAATTATAAATCATTTTTATCAGGCCGCTCCACTCCCAAATCCAGGGGTTCTCTCTCCTGTTATTTTTGGGGGGGCGGTTAATGGGGGGGGCTAATCCCACGTTTCCCCCTACGGCGCTTCCTCACCTGTGGCTTTGACAGCGGCGGGCGCGGGGGGCGGCGGGTTGGGCGGGTTGCGTGGGGGCTCCGCCACCGCTTCGGGCTCATCTGTGGGGAAAAAGCGTCAGTTTTGGGGGGCTCCGGGGACGGATGGGGGGGGGGAAGCGCGGGAAGGGCGGCGCGGGGCCCCCCGGGTTCGCGCCCGCGCTAGGCCGCGCTAGGCCGCGCCGCGGCCAACAAAGCGCGCCCGCCTCCACCGCCCGCGCCCGCCTTACCCGGCTCGGAGCCCGAGTCCCCCCCGTCGCCTGCGGGCCCCGCGGCCTCGTCGCGGCGCGGGGCGGGCGGCGAGAGCTGCAGGATGGGCCGGCGGCCGGGCGCGGCCCGCGGCTTCTTCCCCATGGCGGCGGCGGCGCCTCGGGCTGCGGCCGCGCCGGTGACGTCAAAGGGAGGGGCGGGACGGCGGGGACACGCCCCTTGGGCGGTGCGGACACGCCCCCTGGGCGGGGACAGTGGGGCGGGACCGGCGGTGTCCCGGCCTATAGGATGGGGATGGGGGGGGGATAGTGCCCCTTCCCGCCCGTGGATAGGGTGGGATTGGTGCCCCTTCCCGCCCGTGGAATGGGACTAGGGGTGGGATTGGTGCCCCTTCCCGCCCGTGGAACCGGGAGAGAGGCCGGAATAGTCCCCCTTCCCGCCTGTGGATAGGGATGGGAATAGTGCCCCTTCCCGCCCGTGGAATGGGACTAGGGGTGGGATTGGTGCCCCTTCCTGCCCTATAGAAGTGGGAGGAATGAGGGTTTAATGCCCCTTCCTGCCCTATAGCCCCATCCTGCCCTATAAAACCGGGCTGTCCTTGCATTTATAGCCCCTTCCTGCCCTAGAGCACAGGGCTGCCCTTCAATGTACAGATCAATCCCGCCCTTGACCCTGTAGCCCCATCCTATCCCATAGCCCTCTCCTGCCCTATAGCACAGCCTGCCCTTGAGTCTATAGCCCCGTGCTGCGGCTCCATCCTATCCTACAATCCTATAGCTTTTCCAAGGGGCTATAACCCCTTCTTACCCTATACCCCCTTCCCCTGAGCTATATCAATCGGGGATAGAGCTCCCTCTCTCCTGGGCCCTACAGCTCCATCCTGCCCTATATCCCAGCACTAGAGTGAGGGCTGGAGGGAGGGGTCTGGGGAGAGGAGCCTCACAGCCCCCCCTTTTCCCACCCCACCCCGATGCACACCTGGAATAACGCTTCCATTTTATTAAAGTTCATCCAAAAACATACCAATAAATAAAAGAAGTTCCCAAAGGTTCCACGTCCGGAGCAGGCAGAGAGCGAGCGGGTGTCGTGTCAGTGACCCCCCAGCCCTGCTCATCACCCATTGCCCCCCGGGGGGACAAGTGAGGGGACACGCTGAAGGGACAACCCACCTCCCCAAACCCGATCCTTCTGGAAAAACGACGAGTACAATCCAGCACCACGGGCTGGGACGGTGACACTCCCGGGGGACGTCACCTGGACTAGGGGTGGCAGTACAGGCGCTCCACGGTGGCCGTGCTGACCTTCTGCTGGTAGTCCTCTATCCTGTCGTTCAGCTTCTCGTAGAGCTGGGAGAGGCAGGAGTCGTGAGGAATCCCACCCCATCCCAGTCCCCCTCTCTCAGGAGTTTGGGGACTCTGCACTTACCACGACGCTGTTCTCGTTGGCGGAGCTCTCCCGCAGCGCCTGCAGCAGCTGGTCAATGGCAGTGTAGGGAAGCCACATCGTGGGGGACGTTGGGGACAGGGGCACCTGGAAGGGACAGGAGACCTCGCGTCGTGTCCCCAAGGAACGTCCGTCCCCCGCCACATCCCGCCCTGCGGGTGAGCTCACCTCGATCCCGAAATACTGGTGCCCTTTGCCCAGCACAGCATCCACGTACTCCAGGACCAAATCCACGGCCTCCTCCAGCAGGTCGTAGTTCAGGTAGAGGCGCAGCAGCTCGGCAGCATCCACTTCCTGCAGAAAAAAAAAGGGAAACTCAGCCAGGGAGTGTGACCAGGAGTTGGGACCACGTTGGGAGGAACCTGCTCCGAGCCTTGGTCCCGGGCACAGGGCACTTGACTCCAGGGCCTGGAGCTGGGAGCAGGGAGGTGGGGTGGAGCTGGTAGGTGTCTGTCGGAGCGAGAGTGATCCAGCAGCTCTAGGACAAGTGGGATTTTGGGACAGCTGGCTCCCTGTTCTCACCTTGTAGCTGTTAATGAGCCAGTTGGGCAGAGGGATCCCGTGTGCCAGGAGCTTGTTGATGACGCAGCGATGGTACAGGCTGTTCTGGGATGGGTAACGCTCCAAGTAGGATGACAGCAGCCTCCAGGCTTCATCCGTGGCACTGCAAGGAAACAATTCCCCTTGGAACACGTGCCAGCACCTCCTGCCACTGTCTGGGAGGCCACGGTGTGCTCCCAGGTGACATGGGGACAGCATGGAAACACTGTTCTCCCCATATCCCAGTCACACGGTTCTGCTTTGAGGGGTTTTTAAGGACCCCAACACTCTAGATTCCCAAAAGGCTCCTTTCTCCAGACCCTCCTCCTCCTCCCAAACTGTGGACACAGACCTACCTGGACTCCTTGGTGGTGACCAGGGCCGAGAGCTGGTTTGCTGCCAGCCAGTCCCAGGCCTTGGCCTGCGCCTCTTCCCCTCCCAGCTGGAGCTTGATGCACCTGCATGAAAACCAAAAACCACAGAAATGTGGGTCCCTCCAGAGCCAAGCCCAGCCCTTTCCCACTGCCATCAAAGCCACCCCTCGCAGGACTATTCCCAAGGAACAGCCGTGAATCAGCTGGATTGGCAGGAAAAGAATGTTCTTAGGGCAAGTTCCACCCCGAAACCACTGCATCCCTCCGGCCCCACATCCCCCGAGGTGGGAGAACACCTGGACACGCACTTGAAGGTGAGGCCCTCAAAGATGGGCGTCAAGGGCAGCTTGAAGGTTTGGCACAGGGTGATGGCAGAGTCAAAGAGTCCGGCTCGGACCAGGAGAGACACCGTTTCCTCGGGCGTGGAGTTGCCTGAAGGGAAGGAGGACCAGGTAAAGCCTCTCCCAGTAACACCCCAGTGCTTTACTGGGGCCTCACCCCGTGTTACTCATCGAGAGTTGCAGCAGCACCGCGCTAACAGCCTCAAACACCCCGCAGCAGTACTTCTCAATCCATGGCTGGAGGTTTTCCTGGCCTCCAGAGCATCCCATGAGCCCGGGAGCCATCCCCTGGAGGGACTGCACAGAGCAGCAGTGAGTCACAGAGCTGGCCCTGATCCATCATCACCTGGAGAGGGACTGCAGAGGGACACAGGCAGCAATATATGGCCTGCAGGCAAATGGTGCTGCTGTTTAGAACCATGGAATTATTTGGAAAAGATCAAGACCATCAAGGCTAGGGAGGGGACAGCCTCGTCACAGCTCTGTATCCAAGCAAACAAGGCACCAGCTCAGCTCTGCCAGCACAGAAACTGCGGCATTCGGCTCCCTGCGTCTCCACTCTGCCCTCAAAGCAGCTGTTCCCTCCTTTCCCTGCAATCCCTTGCTGGGAAGTCACCTCCTCCTGACATTTAAAGGGGAAAGAAAGTTACACACTGTGTAACTTGTATCAGAGACACTCAAAGGCCCAGGGTGGGAGAGTTGTACCTTCGTGCTGCCCAAAAAGGAACAGCTTTGATGAGCTAACACTGTTCCATGAAGCAGGACTGTCCAGGAAAATCATTTACTCTTCAATTAAAACGGTTGGACTCAAATGATCTTGGAGGTCTTTTCCAACCTTAATCATTCTATGTTTCCATGATTTCCAGCAAGATAAAAAACCTGCCTTTTTGTCCCCAACTCAGAAGCTCACCCCACACTCCCTGCAGACCACTAGAGCTTGGAAAAGCCAAAAAATGGCGGAGAGCGTATAACTGTTTTTCTTGTTGTGTGTCTCTGACAATGGTGGATGGATTTCATGGGAGGGGTGGGAATTGGGTGGTCCCTGCCAGCTCCTGGGTTTGTCCCTGGGTCAGGACAAAGAGGCTGAATCCCTCTCACCTGCCACAGCAGCTGCTGACACGTCGTGTTCCACCAGGGTCAGCCGGATCCGGGCCAGCAAACATTCCCTCTCCAAATCCTCCAGCTCCAGGATCTCGATCTGGCGAGTGGCTGGAACAGACGGATACCGGGCTCTCAGCATTCCAAAAAGGGCTCTCTGGGCACTGTGCAGAATGTCATGGAATCGTGGAACCGTTTGGGTTGGAAGAGAGCTTAAAGCTCATCCAGTTCCATGGGCAGGGACACCTTCCACTAGACCAGGTTGCTCCAAGCCCTGTCCAACTTGGCCCTGAACACTTCCAGGGATGGGGCAGCCTCAGCTTCTCTGGGCAACCTGTGCTAGGGCCTCACCATTCTCACAGGGAACAATTTCTTCCCAATATCCCAATAACCCTGCCCTCTGGCAGTGGGAAGCCATTCCCCCTTGTCCTGTCTCTCCAGGCCCTTTTCCAAAGGGCTCTAGCCCTCTTGGAGCCCTTTTAGGCATTGGAAGGGGCTCTAAGTTCTCCCTGGAGCCTCCATGCCCTCATAAAACCATCTCCACACCCCTCTCTCACCCTAAGAGTTGTGCCCCAAAAAGCACCACAGGAATGATCAGGATTTGCTGTCCTTTCCCTAGTCCCTTGACTGTGCTCTCTCTCCTTGATACTATCCTCCTGTTCCTCCTCCTCCAGATGTTATCTAATATTTAGGAACAGCTGCTGCTTTGCCTGCCAGGCACACGCCACCAAAAAAAAAAAAAAAAACCAAAACCAAAAAAAACCTCTTCAGAAAGAGCTGGTTTAAAAATACCTGACCTTAAATTTTCCCACCGGAAGGCTGAGGATAACCTGATCCCACATCCTGGGCCGTGGCACACACAGGCAGAGCTTATTCCTGACAGGATTTCCAAGGGCACAAACAGTCTTGAACAACCAGAAAATGCCTCAAAAAGATGGGTGGGTTTTTTTTTTTTTTCTGATTACAAATTATTTCCACTGGAAAAAAAAAGCACTGTCAAGGCAGTGCTGAGAGCGTGCACAGGAGCTCCTTGGGGAATAGCTGTATTCCTTGGGGAAACAGCTGTATTCCTTGGGGAACAGTGGCAGTGTGTTGCAAATGGGACACCGGGAGAGTCAGTAACCTTAAAATCCCCCCCCCATTATTGATCCAGTGGAGGTGAGAGCTGCCCTGAGCCATCTCCCAGCTCACATGGGAGCAGCAGAGAGGCTGTGGAAGCTCCAGAGGCACAGGAAGGACCAGGACTGGGCACTTACTGGGAACAGCCATGCACTCCCCGTCGTGGCTCCTCTTCGGGGACGCTCCTGGGCGCTCGTACTTGCAGGAAAAAGCAGAAGGAGGGTTTATT